TACTGTATATTTTTTGTCTTAAAACTTCTTAAAATTGGAATTGTTTACACATATTGCAATTAAACTATAGTTGCTTGTATTTAGTGTGACAACAACTATATGAGTTACAATTATAAGACGGATCCTAATGTTTTTTTTTAAAGAAAAATAATCGTAAATCGTTGTTTTTACCAACTACTGCAACTATGTAACTGTAATTTATTCATTTTAATACTTTTATAAAAAAATAGAATTACAATATTATATCCAATCGTTCAATATATTATATTATGAAACACAGACGATTTTAATGTATCGGGCTTGTTATTTAATTGAGAAAAATCGAATTGTTTATTCTCGTTCCTGTTATATAATTAATAATTATCTATTAAACTTTGTATCTTATGATCCTTAAACTTCTCAATGGATGGGTATTTATAATTTATATTGTATCGTTTTATCATTATTTTACGACATAATATAAATCAAACTGTTTGACAGTTGGTTTGGTTTTTATTTTATTTTTATTTGTCAAGCTTCTTAGTAGGTATATACTATTTTACATAATTGTATCATTCTTATTTCTTATAGTCTATTAATCTATTAAGGCGTTACTATAAAATATAAACAAATACTTCAACTCAAGGTATGCTCACACGGTGTGTTGAACATTTGCATATGAAATCTATGTGTTTTAAAATTAAAAGCTGCAATATTTTTCAGCAAATTAATGTCAAATAAATGTATTGCTATGGTTATTATTACTCATTATAAATATAAATCGAAATTATATAAAATTAAAATTATTAAGATCCAGAAAATCTAAATTTTTATAATTTTGAAGGTACGCTTGAAAATAAAAATAATTTATCTTTTAGTATATTTACTTAGTGGTCATTGAACTATGCATTATACGTATTTTTTTTTTAGTTTATTCAATAATATACCTAAGGAGAAGAGTATTAAAATATAGCAAAATAAAAGTTATTTACAATTTATTTAACATAGTTTGGTTCGGGGAAAAAATTCATTTGAGTGTTCGTATGGATTGTTCGTCTCCAAACATTTCTTCGACTCTTCGCTTGGTGTGTTTAGATTGGAATCTTTTTAGTTATTAGCTTTCTATTTATCCGTAAAAAATAAAGTTCACTTGGAGTTTTAATAAAATCAAATTTAAAAAAAAAATACTTTTGTCAAAATAGTAAATACGTGATTTATGACAGCTCTATATATATATATATATATATATAATACGAATAATATTTGTCCATGTGAATGGGTGGTAATGAACTCAGAAAACGAAACTTAAATTGTTTTGTGCATGACCGTGTGCAAGAAAGAATGGTGCAGATTTTCGTGTCAGGGTCGATCTACGTGAGTATCGTTACAATGGTCAGAACTATATATGACTTTGGTCTTTGGATTACAGAAGGCTTGAAATACAGTCCATTCGAGACACTGAGTTATTATGGTTTTAATGTGAGTCTTGTCCTTTTTTTCCTGCTTAGTTGTTAACGCTTTTCTGTAGAGCGCACAGAGAGAAAATTCTAAAAAAAAAAATATCTTTCAACGTTCACATCAGCTGGATCCGCTGTGGAGTGCTGTATCGCACTTCCGTTGCAGTAATACTATTTAATTGGAATTTAATACTAATATACAATAATAAACTACCTATGCTTGGTGTCTGCGGGTCCCGTATTATTTCATCTTATACCGTGTACTTATTTCGTTCTTCGGATGTTCAACGCTCTTTTTTTTTTTCAAATGTATTATTATTCCGATGCCGAAAATGGTAAATTTAATGGTTATGATATTGTGTACGAGTGTCTTCTTCGTCATCAGCATTCAATGGCTCGAACAGATGGCACGACTATAGTGTGATATGTGGTGAACGATATCGATGTTAGCAAAGTGGTCCAACATAATATTATTATGTTAAGAATTATTGATGTGAATGTCAAGCGGAATCAATACCAATGAGTAATGATAGAGCATGGGCCGATTTGCGTATGATCGGTATAAACACAAGTTTCGTACCTCCTTCCCGCCCCATCGTGTCTGAATTTCTCTCTTTAGCTGCAATAATTCATTGTCTTTGAGGTTAATTAGGTCCCAAGGGTCCTATAGATATGTTTAACTGACGTTCATAAATATAAGTTCCCAGGGGACATTCGAGTAATAGTACAGGGTGATACACCGGCACACAGAGGTATTTTATAATAATTTCAATTTCGGTAATTTTCTGAGTTGTTGGTAAAAAAACTAAAGCCTATCTATATTATTTTCAGTGCAAGCGACTTTTAAAGCTTAGTCATTACTGTCCGAAAAAAGGTCAAGAGAAAATTATTACTCTCAAAAAAAAAAATCCATTACCCTTTGATCAGAATCTAAAAATAATACTATAAAGATAAGAAGTATTTTGTATTTTATAACTATTACGTCATGTTTATATGATAAATTAAACTCTCCTGTTCATATTGTTTTCAAGTGTAAGTAGCTAGGCAGGTAATATATGTAACTGAAAACCGAATAATCAAATACACCTGCTACAGTTCACATTTGCAGTAGGCCATATAATAAATAGACGGTATCACATAAGTCGTAAACGTGTACAACTACACTTTGGGATATTTGAAACTTACAATAATGGTATCAAATGTGAAAAGTTTTTTGGTTTTCAAAAAATCTCCATTGCTGCAATTCCGGTAAAAACAGTTTTCTCTTTCGAATGATAAAAGTGATGACGTTAGTGGAAAATTTTAAATAAGCCAAAGGGGGATTTTGATTGAATTAAATGTTTACTGCAAATTATATTCGATTGAATTAAATGCGTTGAGCTTATATAAGAGCTGGAATAAAAATGAAAAAACGAAAAACAGCAGACATAACGGTACAAGACCGCGAGAGTGAAAATAAAATGTATATTTACTTGAAAAATAAAATCAAAATGTACATTTACGTTTATATGTTCCCGGTGAATAGAAGGCGTATCGCACTTGTTCCGAAAAAGTGTTCAAAAACTCTACCACGTACGCAGAATGGTCGGTATCTAATATTATTATGTTTGGATGCAAAACGATGTTAATTGTAATATTCACACAGTGCAAGTATTAAAATAGGATCCATAGGTACGGCATTGTATCCCCACTATACAGTCATACCATTGTTGCGCCATATCTATATATTGGCGCTTATAAATGTACGTTTATTCGCGATTAATCCACAACTCGGTCATTTTTATAACATCAACAACAATATCATCACCACAGTATTGTGTTGAACACAAAATAAAATATAATCACGAGAAGTTATTATACTTACGTCATTATTTATACAAAACACGAGATTAACAATCGCAAAAACGACGTCGCGAGACACAAAGACTTGGAACCCACGCCAGCATTGTGTATTATTATTATAAATTCGAAAGTTATGATTAATCATTCCGTTTGGAAAACGATTCCGAACAAAACTCGGGTCGCCCTGCAAATACTATTAAGCTGTCCGGAAAAATGAGCGGCTTGCATACACTTTTCATTTTCTCCCTCCCCCGTCTTTAGCCATCGAGAAACGGAAAAAAATGTCTTTCGCAGTTAAGTACGATCAGTGTTCGACTTCCAATCTATGCGTAGAAGGTCTGCATGAAACGTTTAAAGCGCTCGTTCCGTACAAAGTGATGACATAAAAACTTTAAAAAAAAAAGTAGTGATAACATTTCGTCTAAAAATATTAATCAGAGATTAAAGTATTATAAAATGTGCTGTAAAAATTAAATTCGGTATGTGCCAGACATAATATTACACGGCTGGTAAATTAAATGTTCATTGTGCACATAGGCTGCAAAGTCGTTTACTAGCGACGATTGTATCGAAACCTACTGTCGAGTTTTCTTTGGTAATAATTAGAGCGAGGACTTTCATGCACTAAAAAATCATCAAATATGCACTTATGCATCAACAAATTAAAAATATGAGGTTAAATATGCCCTTAAAAAATGTATTTTATTATTATTCACTATAGGTTTTAACTGCATTTATTTCATTAAATTGATCTGAAATTTTTTTTAAATGTTCGATCCCATTCTTCTTAATTATTATCCGTTGAAAATACAGATTCGCCAACTTCGATTACAAAATTACACAAACGATAAGCTTTTGTCAATTTTTATTTTGGCATATATTAATGGAGTGACAACAATTAAACTCGCGAACGTTACATAAAAATTAAACTCACCAAACTTACACGCACCCGACGATCTACCAGAACTAATCTAATCTACCCATACTGACTATAGATACTTGAAACTATCGTTTTTATCCCACGTACCTACCTACTATTCGTTAAATAAAAATACAAAAATAGACATAATCAATACTGGCCATTATTATTATTTCAAGATAAAATTTATCTCTATCGTCTTTATAAGTTTATAACAAATCGTTGAACTTGATTCACGGAAAATATTCGATTTTCGCCAAACCATCAAAATATGCACTAAAAGCTTACAATATGTTCTTACAATCAAAAATATGCCCCTTAAACCAAAAAATGTCCAAATATGCAAAAATATGCACTAAAAACTTTGAGCTTTTGGTCACAGACGTTGTGAAAGGCATATTGTGTACTTACTCTGCGTACGTTTAACTAAACCGGAAAAAACATGCAAATGCATTAAAGTCCTTGCTCTAGTGGTAATTAATATAATACCATGTTTGCACTATGGGTCCATCGATTATTCAACAGGTACTTTTAGGTACTGGTTCGAATATCGGTTGTTAGGGGGTATAACACCGTAAACGCAGCATTGTTTATTTCGTAATTATATTATAATATCATTATTATTGTATTTATATGCGATTTTTATCAGCAACGGCGTTGAATCACATCGTATTCTAAACAATCACCGAAATTATGATGCTGCTGCGATTATAAATTGATAGTCCAGCGGCACATTGTTTTGACTTCAAACATACCATTGAGACTGCACACAATTAACAACATAATATTGCCTATTATATAATATGAATGACAACAATCGAAATCCCTGGGACGGCCGCCGACCGTCGTTGGTGCGTTGGTGGGATTTGCCCGAAAACGAAAATAACGAAATGCCGGAAAAAAATACAAGTTCGCCAAGAGCGATAGAGAATGCGAAACAATGGATCGATCGATCTTCGGGGCAGTCGAATAAAATTAGTAGCGCCAGTAACAATCGCAAAGAATCCATTGCCAAAAAATCGGTAAGTATATATATGCAAAAGAATTTGATCCTATATAGATTTATATAAAATTATTACCGGCTTAATATTGTGTACACGTGGTGGTCCAAAAATCGTGTATTCGATATTTTTCACCAATTTTCATGACGCGTAGTGCTTTAAAAAAATATTTCGCTTCAGAAAAGCGATTTTCTAAAAAACTTTCTTTTAACAATAGTTCTGAAATAATGAGTACCACCTTGCAGATTAACGGATCTTAACTTATAATTAAACGGAATACGTATTCGGCTATTCCGGTAGTAACGAGAAATTCTGTGTCTTAATTGATGCTCATACGTGCATAATAAACTTAAAACGGACAAAAATGAAATTGCGTAGCTGATTTTTGGAATTTTTTTTTGGAAAATTATAGTTTTTAAAGGTTCTATTATTACATCTAAAATATTTAACTCTTTGCGGTTTGATATTTAAACGATACAAGTGAAACATAGTTAATACGATTAAAATACTGTTTTTATTTTTTCTTTATTATTCAAATATATAAAGTACATTGCGCATTACACGTTCTTACAAAATATGGTGTTCTGTATCGTTTTTAGGCGTCATTACGTTGACCAGCTAAAGTAGCGTCAGTCGTGTGCTCTGCATTAGATTTGGGGGGGGGGGGAAATATGATTAATTTCAAGCTCATTTGCTCCAGTCGTCGACCTCAGGTTCATTATTTTCAATATATTATGAACACACGCGTTATGCGAATAAACATAAAATGTTAGTTTGCGACTGATACCTACAACGGTTATACGGGTTGTTTTTTTTTTATATACATTCACTAACTTTTTATCGGTACTGAGGGAATACTCTGCAAGTTTCATGCGAACCAATCGTTAGATTAGAAACTGCAGTATGCAAATTGTAAAAACGGTTTGGATTTTTTCCTCCCGAATATAGTACTTAACTTTTTATCGAGTCAGTGGTATTTATCCGTCGTGATTTGCACTTTTTTTTATGTTTGTAATAACGATCGTGGTAAATTCGAGTAAAACAGACGAGAGAAGCAAGTCTGTGGTAAATATTGTAAATTATAGACCGTCTAGGTTAACGCCCAATATAATAAACCTATGGGGAGTTCAAACGTATATTGGCTTGAGGAGGTTATTATTATTATTTACTCATCCATCATTTAGTTCAATGAGGCCCATTAAAACGTTGATTAAATTTTAATCGATAAAAGTTTACAACTGATTGAAATTAAATTTGGATGTAAGTTTAAATTAAAATATGATTACTTTTCACCGGCGATAATTAATTATTGATAAAATTGCCCAGAGTGATGAATAATACAATAACAAACAAAAATATGTTGACTGTACATCGTAATAATGTTTACAAGGTTTTTATTTTTATCGTTTATTTATTATTTTGTAAAAATAAACAACGATCACCAATCTATTGGTACAATATTATAAAAGTACAACTATGAGAAATTTTGATTACTCAATCGAGTGACAATGGTATTGGTAGAATAAATTGGGAAGGCACTCGGCAGTGGTGCCCGACAAGACTCTCGAAGACGTGTTTGTTTTAGAAATAAAAATGTTAATTTTTATTTAATGTCACTACCTAATCTTGAGATATACATGCAACATATGTATTTACCTCTATACCGTGAATAACGCAAGGTAAACTAAATTATTGTAATTCAACATGCTTTAAAATTAACTAAATTACACCTGAATTCATGAATATAATTTTCGAGTAGTAGAATTTCATCGTGATAATATGCAAATTGTTATGGTTTTCACTTTAGTCTAGATTAAACACACAATAAATATGGTTTTGAGGTCGAAATTAATTAATAATATTATCACTACTATCGTGGTAAAACTGACACAAAAATGTCGGATTGGGGCTATGGAAAAAAATGTTTTACTTTTTCTTTTATAAGGAGTATTTGCTTTACCGTGTAGTTGTTAACATTTAACTTAATTGTTTTTCATAAAATATGTTTCGGAAACGGAAAGAATTGTCTTATTTGTGGTGCGTTATTTATGATCAGCAATAGTTGTTATTATTAATAAGCATCGAAATTCAAAACAGTCTGCAAACGTTATTACGTCCGTTATCGTATGATTTGTACAATACGACAGCTCAGCGGAGGAAAATATAATAATTTTATTGGTGGTTGATTGTGAAATAAAATGAATGTGGAAAACAATAAAAGCATTCTGGTGTCACTCTATAGTTCAACTTTCATACTTGGAAATTCCCATTCATGATAGGTAACCGATATATCATCACAAACGATATGGACTTTGAATGAATACCATTTACGTGCGTACAAAGTAATGTGATTTTATGGTACACTTTCAATAACATTTTTATACACAAGTCGCACAGTTATTTACTTTCGTAACATATTCTTGAAATTTTTTATTTTTATTTTTTTATAAATCTAATAGCCACCGCGTTTAAAGATCAATAATATTAAATATAATTGTTGTTTTTATAAAATAATATACTAAAACTAAGTTATATTATGCTGACGCAAGTGGGGATGACACCAAAGTGAAGTATATATTTTTTCGAGATCAACATTTTCTCTTTATTTAAATTAGGTTCAAAGTATATGAAAAATAATAATTATACGTTACAAAATTAGTTGTCGTATAAAACAAAGTGCATTCATATTTTATCTATTCATTAATTACAACAGTATAGTTTTACAAATATTTTCAAACGTCATGCGCGTTTTGAACGCGTAATATTGTATAAACGAGCTTTTTTGAAAATGCTAAAAGTTATATAATTTTATACAGCCGATGAAGTTGATGTTTCGTAGAAGTAAAGAAAATTATTCACAAAAGCTACGATTTAGGCCTCACTTTTAAGAAGATTATTTTGTTTATTTTTTTATGTTTAAAATTAAAATAAAGTATTATTTTATTTTTAAACAGTTGTCGGTGTCAAAAGTTTAGAATAAAGTCGATAAATATTATTTTTAAGATTTTAATAATGGACGTTTAATTTCCTTAAAATATTTTTTTTATAAAACACTTGAAAATAATGAAGAACTGTCGAGTACTTGAGTTTCGACCCTTATACAAATATAATATAACAAATTATATGGCTAGGTACCTAAAGTTTAAATTTATATTATTAAAAAACAACCTTTTCCAAAATCAATAAGCGCACCTAAATATACAAATTATGCAAATATGCAATATAGTGTGTTAGGAATTTTGAAACAATTCACTGTTTATTGGCAATCACAATATTATGGTTACACATATGGAAATATTAAATATTATTAATTTAATTAACAATTATTTTTAATGTACACTGTTAAGCAGACCCGTGTTGAGGGTTCTTGTTTTCTTTTATCATGACTATGTTATATCCTTACTACTTGTCTAGACAAGATATTTGTCTACATTTTTAAGATTATTTGGACATTTTTTTTTATAGAATATGTTTGATACTATAATTAAAATTTTTTATTACAGAAACTAAGTGCTTAGATTATCATCGTTTTCTAATGAAAACTTTTCATAGATATTGTTTGATTTACGACATCGATCTTACATTGAATACTGTTTTGTTAACTGCACATCTATACTATTTTTTTGGAATCGAAGTTCTTTTTTTTTATTGTTACACGCCAAATAATATTGAATTGTTATTGTTAGAATATTCAATAAATTAGCTGTCGTATTAACACAATCAGGCCCGCAGGGACAATGCTAGTATAAAATGGCTATTGTGGCTCACTCAAAATATTATTCCAGAATCTCCCTTATACCTGACAATTTTACTTCGACTTATGCTAAATAGATCACAAAGCCTTGTACAACAAACAACGGTACTTATTGCCATTGAAAATCACTCGTCGGGAAACATCCGTGGACCATATTATAACAACAGTTGTCATTATAATAATATCGAATAAAAATAATCACTTTTGCCATCATACATTTGTTGATGTATCTTCTGCCGAATTTTAAGATGGATGTACATTACTGTTTACCTAGTGTGTTTAAACAGGGCCACATCACTCATTACAAAAATGAATAACTTAGGTTGTATAACCATAGTATTAAAATAATCTACAAATCTAACTCATAGTTAATATCATATGACACGTGGTCGTGTTACGTAAACGAGTAACGTTAAGCTACTGTTATATTAGATGTATGTTGGCCAAAGAAAACAAATGATGAGTAAAAAAACATATTTTAACAAAAAAGACAAAAATAAAATAAATTTAAGGCGCCTACCCAATGTTTTTTCACGGATTTCGCAGTATTTTCGAAACATCGCTGCGTATTTAGTCCGAAAAACGACCAGTTCCGAGTACAATCTATGTTAAATGTTCAACCTTAAGAGATAGACTAATGGAAAGCCACCCGAAACTTGTTGATTGTTCTTACAGCTCCGAAAATTGTTGACCGACAAAAAAAAACTCATAACCGTGAGATCAATATCTCCCTCTCTCCACCGGGATTCTAAAACAAAAAAAAAAATTAAAACAAGCGTAGATGGTCTGGGTTAGTTCATGAAGAACAACGACTTGCCATCACCATTCAGTTTGTGCACTACAGCAGCGTTTTGTATAAAATATATATTATATTATTGTTACAATCGTATTGCGCTATTGTTCGTCATAATTTATTAGGAGGTCAACGCGTTATATTGTTTTATTAGGTAGGTACCTACATTTACCGCACAAACCTTTATGCGTTTTTTTATTTTCTCCGATGACACAAAAATTATACTACAAACAACATATAACAATTAGCAGATATTATATTATGACAGTCGCTTCTGCGAGTGCACACTGCAACCGGGACGACGTATAGTCAAGGCCGTAGCTAGGCGCTGGCAAGAGGGCATTTTCCAGGGGTGCAATTATACGAAAGGCGCAAGTTCATCGAGTGGCAATCTCAATTCAAATATGATAGTTGAAAATTAACAACAACAAAAAAAATCCGCCTTTTATTTTTAGCGTTATCGCTATAAGTTTCTCGTCGAGCAATCGCATAATATTGGAAACCACGCTACTCCAGTCACCACAGGCCACAGCTACATCTGAAAGAAGCTTCAGTAAGCTGAAGATCATAAAAAACTATTTAAAATCTACGATGAACCAAAATCGTCTAACAGGTATGGCAATTTTGTCTATTGAAAAAAGTTTGCTTGACCAAATATCATTTTTGTTTTAATCTGTTATTATTATTTAATTATAAAACATAATAGAGCAATTTTTATAATAATAAAAAAATATTAATATAATAAAATAAATATAATATACTTGTGCTACAATCAACAGTGTTTTTTTTTTTTTAATAATGAGCATGGTAGATGAAAAAAATTGTATGAGGGGGGGGGGGCGCAAATTTGCTTTTCTGCCAGGAGTGCTACTTGTTCTTGCTACGGCCCTGCGTATAGTAATTAGTAACCATGTGCAATATTACAAAAGAGCTAGTAACCCTCTCCCCACCCTCTGTGCACACCCTGCCACGCCGAAATTTCCAGGCGAATTAATCGCGGACGGTTCCTGGGTAACCGGCGGCGCACAGTCTCCTGTAGCCCGTAAAAGGTAACACGTGTTCCGGGCTAATGGATTACCGTGATATTTTAATTACTCCAGAGGTCGCCGACGACGTCGTGTCACGATTAATTAAGACGAACTACTGTTACTCGTCCCGGTCAGCCGAGCTGGTCGCGACAATAACACGACAACTGTACAATTATATTGTACGAGTCCATTATGTAATATATACTTCACGGAGTTAACAGTTCCGTCTCGGTTCGGTCCGGAACTGAATATACTGATTGGGGCGAATGTAAGTTCGTACACGAGAGTAGCAGGTACACAAAATACATACGTTAGTTCCTACACGACGGAAAAAGGTACATAATATGTAAGTTCCTACACGGTATAAACCAGGTACGTATGTTAGTTACTGCGGAAAGGGTTAAATATGTATATTATACACAATTAAATATGTATATACGAATTTAAAAAAACAAATATATTATGATGATTCAAAAATATAATACAAATCGTCATAGTGCATTTTCACAAATAAATTATGGTGATTAAAAAATATAATAAAAATCGTACATATTTACAAATAAATATTGTATAATATGGTGATTAAAAAATATAATAACAATTAAAAATACATAAAATACGACATTTTATATTTCATGAGATTTATTTCTATAACTTAAAATCTTAACATATTCGTATTGATTAATTTTGTTCGTTGTATAATCTGAAATTTGTTTATTTATGAAATCTTCTTTTTCGGCGTATTTTTTACTGATTTTTGGTTTTTCGTTACTTATAATTGTGGTTCTTATTTCAATATATGTATTGACTTGAAAAAGTTTGAGAATTTCAATAATTCTGTCTGTGTATAACATACATATTTATTAACCCTTTCCGCAGTGTAGGAACTAACATACGTACCTGTTACTCTCGTGTAGGAACTTACTATTCCCCACTAATTGCTCGTGTAGACTGTGCAGGTAGTTGTGTTGAACGCGCCACTGACGATAATATGTTATTCGATCACAATAATAAGTGGCGTACCCAACGGCTCACACCGGATCCGCTGGACCAGGACGTTAATTTATTGGTATCTCTGACGTTAAAAAAAAACCCGTAAATATTTTCGACACCGCTTTGGGGACGGAAAGAAAATCGTAAAAAATAGGAACGGTTGCCGACGCGTCGTTATTGGTCCCCTTTTATGCGTTGTTACTAATTGTTGTTCGAGTCCTTTTCGCTGAAATCGTCAAACGCCGTTCTATTGTTTTTCGAAGTAACATGTTGCGAATGTTATTTCGATTTTTTACAAAAAAGTTTAAAACATTATGGATGCACCTCGATCGTAAATTATTTCTCTTTTATAATTACTACACGCATTTACAATATTTTCTACCGACAGCTTCGTGCGAAACAAATCACTCTTGCTTAAGATCTCATTTTGGTTGTAACTATATACGATTAACGATGTTATTTTATAGCTTTCAAATGTTGTGTCATCTTACAATAAATTGGGTGCTTGCGCGAAGCGAGGCAAATGATTAGAAATTAAAATTTGTATTATATCCGTGATTTAATTTAAAAAAAAAATAATAAACCAAGAAAACTTCAATAAAATTAATAAAAATTAAAAAAAAATGCATCGAATTATTTATCAAAATATTTCTTATAATTATTTATTTATGTAGTTTATTTGTTTAGATACAGGTACTTTTATTAAGTGTGAGCTGAATTGTTGGTTAAATTTGTTATGAATCGTAATTTCTACGTTGCAGCTTCATAATACTATTCTGCCAAACATATCGGTAATTAATTTATGTGCCTATGTGTTGGATTCGACAAATTTCATAAAGATTATCCAAACAATCGATGTTATTATTAACGAAATATATTGGTTGATTGAATTATTATTATATTGTAATATGTGGGCATTATTATAATTTTGGATAATCCGTTAATTGATGTATAGTTTTAAACTAATTTACATTTTAAACGGCAGCTTATACAACGAATACACGCGCACACGCACACACCCACACGCACACGCACGCGCACGCGCACATATTTATTTAGTTATCCATTACCGAGATAGGTGGTGTTTACACAAAAAATATTCATCAAATGTTTATTACTTTAGGATATCTGCAAAATCAATCCATGCCTGTGTTTGAAGCTTAAATTAGTTATCAGAACCAACACAAAATGCTTAACGGATGACGTGTGCAAATTGTACGACCGGTGGCTGTGTGGGCCGCTGGCCACCGACTCGGAGTTCCACAATGAGTTGTTATCACTCATCAGTGTCCTCAAAAAGATCATAAAAGACTTAAACTGTACGACCAACACTCACTGTCAACTGGAGTCGTTGATAAAACGCCACAGTGAATGCCTGGCCAAGTACCACACGTTGTTAATGCAATTGGATCAAGCTAGTATGCCGAAAACCCGGAAACACATTGGTAATGCCGGATGTATACCACAAGACGGGGGGAAAAAAAAAATTAATAAATAAATTTAACTAATGTTACAGAAATTTATTTTTCACGAGTAGTTAGGTAGATCCAAAGTTGTTTATTGATTCACCGTCATCTTGCTTTTATTATTTAATTATTTCGCTAAGTTTTCAATGCAAGTAGATAATAATATAATAGAAAATTACAGTTAAACAACACATCTGTCACCTTCAAGCCAAAGGGGCTGTGCGAAAATTAATAAATTGTCTTAACTCACACTTACAAATGCTGAAGAATAAAAAATTGCGAACAAGTATTTATGCACTGGAACAAAATAATGATATGTTCTGTTCTTGATGGTAACAATTTTCTTTTAATTATTGAAATATTTGAAAACTACAAATAGCGTCTAGACGATTTAAATTACGAGTCAATATTTGATCATTGTTCATCAATCAAAATTAGGTACAGAAATATTATTTGAATAATCAAAGAACCATTAAATTATGACTAACGGTTTATTGAAAATTATTTTTTTAATCTGAGCAACAGTAACTGATAAACATTAAACTTGTTTAATTAATATTCATTAAGTTTTGTAGGTACTCTTTAAAAAGTGGAATTTTAGAAGAGCACCTCGAAAGTTTATTTTTATTAACATTTATCATTAAATGACAATTATGATGTATGACAACATTTTAATTACTATTTCGTAATATAACTATTAAAATTTAATTTTTAATTACAAAAAATTATTACATTTAAATTTATTTCTGCAAAATAATATATGAAACCACTCTACCGAACAGTATTTTCCAGGCGTAATCTCATTGTTTAGCAATTAAAATTAAAATATCGTATTTCTAAAAAACCACGATTTTATGGTTTTATTTTTAACATAATTTTCATTTAACCATACAATATTATACTGATTATTTAAAAGAGGGAAAGCTCCTTCTATACTAGGTGTATAGTCATATATGTCACTGTAATATATGTTGAATCGATTTAAATTCAATGATAAATATTAATAAAACAATTAAAGAAAGAATACAGTTATGAACAAAAGAAAAGGGGGTCAGCATCCATGCAATTATTAAGGATATTTTAAGTTAAATTATTAGTATTTTCGTGGTTGCACTAGTTTTCGCCAAAAAAATAGAATAAACTTCTTCGATATACTGACGGATAGCATGTTTTGAATGCGTTTTTGGTATAAACAACCTGAAATCTATTTAAATATTTTGAAAATGGCGTTGTGCATAGTAAGCGCGATGGTCAAAATTGCGACTGTAAAATGTATATTTTGTAAATTAAATTATCCATTATTTTTTTTATTCAAACGAAATAACTAAAATAGTTGAAGAAAAGTTCGCTATTTTAATAGATATTCAATTTCATACAAATTTGAATTTGATAAGGTAATACTTAAAAAACAAAAAAAATTGCGCCATGTATTTTTAACATAATTTGTGTTACATTCATAATGTAACTTGAACTATCGAAAAACGTATAAACATAAATTGAAATAAACCAAGTCAACATTTTAAAATATATATTAGTATGGTGTACATACCTAAATACCTTACACAAAGAGAGCCAAAATATGATGAAATCTGTATAATTTCTAAAATATACGGGTATTTGCAGTTTGTAAAAATTTTGAATTCCAATTCATATTGGCTTTTGAATTACAACAAAAAACAAAATCTATTTGTCGAAGACCTGCGGGGCTCTGAAAATATTACCGTTTCTCCGTTGTTTTTTGTTATTTTTACATTTATCAAGTAAAATACTTGGAATTTCTACCTTCGACTATCCGATGGACTGCCGGAGACCACCTTCAATGATGAATATTAAAGGTAAATTGTCTGCTTTAAGAAGTCACGTAAAACGCACACAACATCGTTACTGTAAAATCACAATATATATTCCTCACTCATCCTAGGATCTAAAATATTTGTTAATCAGCAAATTGTCAACACTAAAATATGTTTAAATGGTGTTTGACTACACCCAACTCTCCACGTGAGTATTGTGTAACTGATAACCGTTTATATTACAATCAGTTATAAAATAATATATGATAATAATAATTATTACTATTATAAAATGTGACATATTGATTATAGGTAGGTGGGTATTGTTTTCAAAACACAATTATAAGAATATTATTTTCTACTATAGTATGTAGTCAATTTTTCATTTGTGTACATTATGCGCCACGGTGGAAAATATTATATTACACAGGTACAACAAAAAAATTAACATGCATTATTTGATTTAAAATGAAGTGTCACAATTCTAATGAAAATTATAGTTTTGTGAATTTACTAATTATTATTTTATTTTACATAATATTTGCCACTAAAAACGTTAACTATTGATATATTTCTCCCTCGGTAACCTAAACCGTAATTCAATTATTTTATGGATAATCATACTACAATATAATTATGATATAAACTTATAACAAATATTTTTTAGACGTTATCACTTATTAATTTATTATACATTCATCTCGAATAATGTATTGAAAACCATACTTAAATTAACATACCACAAAAATAAGGTACGACAGTAGTGTATCGGACAGCTGATAAGCCTGTACATAACGACAAGTGGTTATCATTTCATCATTAAATTACATTATTTTAATAGCCCATCATGGTATTCACTATTTTAACTTTCGACTGACATCGATTTTTAAGTTATCGGAAAAACGGATTAAATGAATGTAGTATATTTGTAGAGATTAATTATCTTCAATATTGTGCATATACAACATATTAGAAATATGTAGAAACATAGACTTAACAATGAATGCATTATAATATGAATAAAGCATATGTACTTTTTAAATGAATTAAATTCGATAAACTAAATAAAATCAATAACATCATATCATTTAATATAATAACTTGTCTGAGGTGACTGAATAGTATACTTTGTATGCAATAAATATACAGTGAAACCTCCCCTGAAAGACACCTCTAAATAGCGACCACCTCCTGAAAATAGTAAAAGTTTTTGCTATTAGGTTTTAATTTACATATTTTAATATGACGAAGCTAATTTATTGTAAAAGGACAATTAGGTAATAATTACATTTTAAATGAGGACATAATACACATCAATATAATACTTCGTTGTTACGCCATTTCAACACATTATGATATGACGTTTCCAGTGTAGATGTACTTTTTATCTGAAAATACTTCAAAATAATGAATAATATTTTGATACAATAAAATTATTTTATTTTCAAATATTAATTTATAATATTATATTTTGCAAAAAGTTTTTTTCATATTCATTAGGTTTTCTGTTTTTATTTTTTAGTTATTTAATAACATGCATTATGTATCTAATTGAAATCTTATTTTAAATATTTAATGTAAAAAAAAAAAAGAAAGAAATAATATAACATTTTAATTCAGCGTGAATATTTAAACAGAATCGTAATGTTCTTTATGTAATTATTTCAAACCAGATTATTAACAAATAATTAAAACAAATTAAATATTTTGAGTTTTATAATAGTTTTTTTTTTATGTCAAATTAATAAACAAGAGCAACAGAAGAGTTAATACTTTTCTGAGAAAGGAAAAAAATATCATTATAAAAAGTGCAGAAATAAAAGTACACTTTGGTTGTTTAATTGTCTTAACAAACGGTTTAATGTAAATACGAACTGTATTTTAAATACATTTGTTTCAACTTACTTTCTCTCAACTTTTAAGTACAAGTAAATGTGTTATATATATTAAAACGACCTAACTGTGTTATTAATATTGCAATAAATATGTTAAATCTCGTGATTTTTTTTAAATACGTTTCAAAATGCTTAGCCGGGAAAATGGCTAACAATTATTAGTCATACGAACATAATATTACAAACTCATTTTTAAAACATAGAAATATAATCCTTATAAAAAACGTGATACACCCATAGAACGAAACAGTTCGTGTTGGTAAATTTAATAAAATCATCAAATTCATGGCGACGTCGGTATAATAAAACAATGAAATGACAATAATATGATGTACATAATGGTATACAATTATTATTATTTTGTTGTTGATTTAAATTTCCATAGTCACAACACAACCTATTGTCGGTTATGATTTAATTTCAACTTCAAATAGGTAATGTTAAATATATGGAAGCAGTATATATTATGTTTGCCTAATCAGAAATACCTAGTTACTTCGTTTGGAATCGGAAAATCATGTTTTGGCGATAAACAGGAAAAAATTAAACGCCGAATGCATTTAATTGTCGACCGAGAACTCGAATTATCACTTCAGACTGTAATGTTTTAATGTGAGACGAGTCTATTTAGCAATCAGTTTTATAGTTTCTGATTTTAATCTGCAGACAACTGTGCAGTTACATCGTTACACATACTGCGGGCAACGTCCACGTGGATTTCGTACAATATTATTATCGAAACCACTTGTCTGACTGCCAAACTCTGTCCGGACATCGCAAACGGTCGCGAACGCACGACGAGCATATTTTTATGAGTATTATTTTTATTTACTGTCAATCGTAGTACTGCACGTAATCGTAGTAGGAGTAATAATTACATCCGCAACATTATACTATACCGCACACGGGTACAATAAATTGTGTTATAAAAACACATTTTGTTATATTTTTACTCGATATTGGGTAATATTTCAAAACCACGTCGATCAATAAATCTACTGGCTGTACTATTATATTTTATCGTGGATTTATCGTTTTATAATTATTCGTTTGTATTACATATAATATGTCACCTATAGTATAAAAACATATCATTTTGAATGAAAATATAACCTACAATGTCAAATGATGATACCTACACGAATGTAATTTTTATTGAATAATATTGTTTTATGTTATTTTTTTATAATTTGGAACAACTTTTTTTTTCACACAGTTCCTCATATTTCCGGTGATAATAATGCATGTATTGGAAATAATGGGTATCATACAACACCGTTAAGTTAAATTTCGGACAATTATTACTGTTTAATCGAGTACCTACTTGAGTTGAGTCTCGAATGTTCGACTATTCAAATAGTTTCCATCACTACTGCTGCTGTACCTACCTATAGAGTGCGTATTGTTTTCTATGGTTACAGTGAAATGAAATAAATTCAATTAAATTATTCATGTAATGCTATACTCAATAAAATATCAGTTGACGCGTGAACAGTGTCAATTATTGAGAAAAAAACTCTCAATGCAAACGCCCGAACAAAACCATATTTGTCATAAAACAATATTTGTTATTTTTGCAAAATATACATTCGTTCAATAATATATATTGATTCGACGAATCTACCCTCGTCGGCTACACTAAAAAATATAATTAAATATTTGTACCTACTGAAAAGTGGTTTTGAATATTGTGAGACAACACTGTTTGTAAAAATACCGAATGCGTTTTTAGCAATAAAATTACGAATTTTACTAGTCAAACTAAAATTTATTTGATGTAATACCTACTGTACGATGGAAAACCAACAATCTATAACTCGAGTATTCAAACACAAAAAAGGTAATGTTCATTCTCGTGTTATGGGGTATCTGTTTTGATCTTTTCCTCTTAATGCTTGACTTTGAACAGATTATCTCTTAAGGATTTCGTTATGAGTTCATCCTTAAATGTATTAGTTATGTTTATGAATTATCCTGCAGTGATAAATATCACTGTATCGCTGGTTTCAATAGTAAATCAATTACATATACAAAACACTTGATAATTGTTTGTAATAGATTTAATTATTATCGTGTGAAAGAACAAAAACTACGAGACTTGGAAGAACAAAATTGATTTAGTTGGAAACTGATTTTCGGTTGAATTTTTTTTTTATGTTCAAGTTTTCTTTTTAAAAGATTTTGTTCTTGAACCTTTTAACTATATTTCCTATATAATATGTTATTTCTGATCCATTTATGTTGGTTATTTCAGTTTTGAGAAGTTCTGTGAAAAATGTCTGGTTTAGGTTTTTCAATTTATATCTCTCTCGGCAAAGACTATCATTTATTTACATTAAAGTGTTATTGTATAAAATATATAATATTATGGGGAAGTGATCACAGCCTTTCAAATACACAACTCTGGATAAGACCGTCTAATTGAATCTTTGGGAAAAAGAAACTTATGCTAAGTTGGGTTAGTATTGAAAAATCGGTGGATTCATTCGAGTGATGGTGACAAAATATTATTTGGTAATTTGTACGCAATAATACATTTATAAAATATTGTAATATAATAACAGACTTATAGAGCGATTGTGTGTAACACACGTGCATGGCTTTTATTTATCTGTGGGTTTATTTTCTCGAGCTTTATTACCGGGGTACGATTCGTATCGTTTATTATTTTTTTTTTTAGAGATTTTGCTCTGTTAGATTTTTCCTGTGTTTTTTTTTCTGTGGACTTTTTTACCAAATGCAGCACAAACACACACACTGTATTTTATTTTTGTCTAACTGATTACTCTAGATATTATTTACCCTCTACATATAATACAACATAAATACGACTTAAAGTTGTAATTTGTTTTTATAATTCATGCGACACAAATTTTAAATATTATTCTAAAGATAATATACAAATCTTAATTATAAATAAAATATTGGATTGGGGACGATACGATTATGATGACGCGTATGAGGCTGTTGAAAGCGAACAATTTTTAAGTGGTCGGATTTAGGCAATATCCTATACTGATCGTGAGTTGTGAGTGATGTGTGACTGTGTGGGTAGTCACTGATCATTAGTGTGCGTGAGTTCTCCGAACGCTTTATGTAATTAAAGATACGCTACGGCTAAGTTTATTGGACATCTGTAATGTTCAATCACGCAGAAGTCAGAACAAATCGTCACTAAATTTTGGGATCAAAAAAGTTTCAAAAAGCGGGAGAAAAATTCAGCCAATACTAAAAGCCCGTTTTTAATTTTGAAAACATATTTGAATTCCTTATTCCCTATTCATTTTTTTCTAGATTATGAGAAAATGGGTTTTCGGTTTTTTTGTTTTGTTTAATTAGTGTAGTACCAAATAAATTTTCTTTTTTTTTTTCAAAATTCACCTTTTTATTAGTGTTGCTAAAAAACACAAAATCGAAAATCCATTTTCTACATAACCCAGAAAAAAAAGAATAAGGAATTAAAATATTTTTTCAACATTTTAATTGGACTTCTGGAAGTATATTTTTTTCTTCTACTTATTGGTCTAAATTCAAGAAACAACGACCCGATTTCCACAGTTTTAAGTTTAGATACGTTATAGATGCTGCAAAGCACAAAAGTTTCTTATCTATAACTATAAGTTTGAGTATAATTCCACTACGGCTCTATATATTGTCTAAGACAATAAACTTCAAATAGTTTGAATTAATATACCATTTTGCTCTATAGTTTAATATCCAATGTATGTGTATAAACCTTTCCTAGACTTTACTATAAAGCATACCCAACATGCATTACACAATCATCTGGTTGATGTACGTTTAAATGGTTCTTGACCATGGTTAATTTCCAAGAAACCTGTGAGGTAACGTATGAGTTGCTAACTATTTATTAATAACCAAAAATGATAGAAAAAAAAACATGGGTCACTCATGTCATACGATAAGAAATAGAGTGACCCAGTAATGCGATTTACGTGATTCCCAATGCCGTTGACATGTAACACGTGAAAATATGACATGCGCGTATGTACCCATACTAAAGATAACATTCAAATAGGTACTCAAATATTCACAAAATACATTCACAGGCCCTTAAATATATAGGTAGGTACACAAAGATTTGTATAAATAAATATTAATGAATACAAATTTCTGGTAAAGCACCAAAAAATCACTAACAAATATAAAATTACTATAAATCCGTTCTAAGTCTATTTATATCAAAAAAAAAAAAAAAATCATATTTTAAAATTGTTACAAGCATAAAGTTTTGAAATATTTTGATGAAGACCGGCACTTGTATGAAAAATAAATAACAATCTAAAAACAAAACTTTAGGCTTTTTATTTAAAAATTTAACTTTAAATTGATAAATTCAGAATTGTAAAATTATTTACTTTTTACTTATTTATTGATCATTTATGCATAATAGGTATATCCTTAACAAATAATTTTTTAGTTATCAATTTTATCGAAAGTATAATTATTGAGCTATTTTCCTCACTAAAATAGCTTTGTATTATTTTCACTTGGTCGTGGTTATTATATAAATAAATCATTTCACATGAACTGTTTACTTCTGTATGTCAATTTACATTTTTTTTTAAATAATAGATGAAGGACTGTAGTTTAATTTTTTTACAAGCACGGCAATGAATTTATTTGATATAAGAGAATGTATCCAAACAGTACGTTTCTCTATGACAGGGCCCAGGAATAAACGAAAAAAAATTGCACTAACATTTGAAAAAAAATCGTATCAACTTGCATAAACTATTTTTCAACGTAATCTCCGTTCTTCTTCATACATTTTTTTGTAACCTATAGGTAATATAGCACACATTTTTTTCGTTTCTTCATAACCTACAGTTGGTTACCTTGGTGATGACTTCAGCTTCATTTCTAAAACGTCTTTTTTTAAAAATGTTTTTCCTTTTTTCTAAAACGGAGATTTAACGAAAAGTCATAATTGAAGTCACCACCGAGATTACCCAATGGTTACTCAAAAAGTACACTTACTTTACCTAAAAGACTTGAAGGTACGGCAACATTATCACAAACGTATGTCGAAGAATGGCGATTATGATAGAAAATATATTTTATCCTGCCGTAAATGAACACGATTTTTTGATTTTCTAATACAAGTAAGCTTGCTTTTTGGAGATTCCTCGAAAATATAGTATATTACATATAGTTCGTCGATTTATACAGCCAAGTAAAAATGATATGTCGGACAAAAAAAGTAAATAATCGACAAATCAAATTATTCTATGTAGGTGTCTAGCTAGGGTACGGTTGAGTCACTTAACAACTTGAACAAAATGTTGATTTATTATAATGTCAATGAATAAAAAATAAATTATTTCTAACAAATGTAATCGAAGAATTTTTATTAAATAATCTTCAACGTTTTAATTACGGCACTGATTTTACACAACATTTTAATCACATACACATATTAATGCATTGCATAATTTAACAATTTGATGTAATAATATTATAACAAATAGCAAAAAATAAAAAGTTATATCATTTAATGAATTGTAACATATTGTAACATAACTTTATCAATCATTAATAATCCTCTTTAAATAGAAAAAAAAATTTCTGAACACTGGATTACGTATAATAGATTATAAATGATGTGCAATAAATGTCTGTTTTTTTTTCGGTAAGAACTTTTTTTATTTGTTATTAAATAATATGTTGTTAATATGTCACTTTCAGTTTTTATCACTGATTTTGTTGTAATATTTATGTAATATAATTTTATCGGTTGATTAAAAAAAAAAAAAAAACGAGTAGGCATAAACATTATGTCAATGTTTTGGTAGGTAACATAAATATGACTGCCCAGTCTAACTATGATCTAGTCTTGTGTTAACTATTGTAAGTGTAAAAAGTAGTGGTGTACGTATTGACGTTCTGTAAAATAACAAAATGCCACGTTTAAGCTTAGACACAAATTTACCAGCTTCAGTAATTCCTGAAGAATTTTTGAGCTCATGCACTACTCTTATTTCTAAAACTCTAGGAAAAAGACAGTCAGTGAGTATAATGTAACGATTTTTTTTTAAATTTATGTATTCAAAAAATAGTTGTAACTGAGTTATCTTATCATACACTTTGAATGGATAGTTTCTATGGCTTTGGAAACTAAAAATAGCAATTAAGTCAATATAATTTGGAAGAAAATAAATTATATCTAGTGATATTTTTAACTTAATAAAAAATAGTAATTTTTTCATTATTAGTTTTTAAAATGTTATTTCATTGTTATTTTTTAATTAAGTGTATTTCAACAAAATTTAAATATTAAAATGTTATAATAAGTTTCATTAGTTGTGTAACGAAAGTTGGTTATTATTATTATCATTATTTTATAATGTTAAAGTGTGTAATTAATAGTAAACTGTTGCTTATTTATAGTATTGCGTATCAACAGTGAACCCAGGTGTAAAAATGACACTTGGTGGATCCAATGATCCTTGTGGTTTTATTCAAGTAACAAGTATCGGGAGTTTGGGACCAGAACAGAATCCCAAACACATGGAAATTATAACTGACTATATACATCAAGTTCTTGGAATTCCAAAAGAGAGGTAAGATTCCACTGAAATAGATCATTTAACGCAATACAATTAGATTCTGAGTGAAGCGATGAATGTATTGATTTTACAATGATGTGTGTGTGTGTGTGTGTGTGTGTGTGTGTGTCGTCACCTTTAGGGGCTGTAAAAATGCCTCAATTTTCTTCAACAGTATCTTTTCTGGTCGGAAAAATGGATCTTGTTGGTACGGTACTTTGGGGGGCCAAAAGTAAAAAACTCTTAATAATTTTCAAAAGCGCCGAGAAAAAAAAAATTGAGGAAAAACAAGAATTTTTACTGAAAACCGGTTTTCGAAATGAATATATTAACACAATTTTTTTTATAGTTATTTTATGTTCAAATTTGAACGAAATTACTTATTAAGTAACCAAGCCTAATGATTTAAGTTATTTTGTTGTAATTCAAAAATATTATTCATGGGTACTCGAAACTTTTAGAGTATATTATTATAAAAAAATGAACTTAACCTACTGCAGTAGTAATAATGCTTAATAGTTACATAAATTACTTAAATCATAACAATATCATTCAATCTACTAATGTACAAAATAATATTATAGGCTGACAGACCATCGTCGTTCAGAATCGTTATTCGTTTACAATGATTTTATATCATTGAATTTAAATTTAACACCATCCATTACAGTGACCCACTTGTAACCTACTGTACAGCAGAGTGACATCCACTTACCCCTTTTTTGTTTTGCATTCAAAATATGTCATCAGGTGTAAAATTAGATAGGTGTGGAAGATGGAACAAGCATCGGGAACATAATTGGCATAGTTGATTAAAATATAAAAAGAATTGAATTCAACAAGGTTTGAAAATCATTATTATCATACTGTTGGCTAGACGTGGTTAAAAGTTTTCTTTTTAGAATAAAGTAGACGTTTTTCAATATTATTGAAAATTTCAAGCTTACATTTTATATTTCTAAAAATCAATTGTTCTTTTTTAATTTGATGTACTTTCATGGGTAATATGTGCATAATGACGTATATTGTATACCTAATATAATATTACATTTCTGTAACATAATTTACAGAAAGCTCTTAATGTTCTTTAATGTATCATTAAATTTGTCTTGTTTTAATCTTTATACATAAATTAAAATTTAATGAGTGTCTTGTACGGAAATAACTAATGCGTATAATGTACTATTTACTAAAAGGATAGTACATCTATTTTAGCTTTTGAGGTAGAGGGATGAAAGATATTGGTTTGACAATGATGCGTATGGTTTTTCTTTTTGAAATATATTTCTGTACACGAAACCCGTATTATTAATACCATTAAAATTTAAAAGTCGAAGTAATTGGTGTGTTAAAAGTGTACAATAATTAATATCATGCAGAAAGTTAATTTCAATAACTTTATGCTAACAAATCGGTGTAGGTATATGTAATAATATAATATTATATAATAATCCCTATTCGTATGCCAGTATAAAAAATTAATCAAGAAACTAAACAAGGACCTATCTTACGTGACGTAAGTCACTAAAAATAAAAAATATTTAAAAAAATGTAGCACACTATTATTAATTATTATTATAGGTGGGAGTTGTTTAATATAATATTAAATTTGAACACAAGATTATGTACCGAAACATTATCGATGCAAAGACCACAACAACATTAATGTTAAATTGATTTTATATTATTTTAAACTATACATACGTATCGACTGCCGGGACTTTTGAATATGTGTATCAGATCTGGCTTTAAGGGAAAACGAGATCTGGGGCACAGTAGGGTAGCTATTTATTTTTTTATTTTGGTAATAAGAAAGTTAGAAATTTGTTTTTGCAGTAACTTTCGTAGAAATATTTTTTTATTTTCTTAAAATTTCCTACTTCAACTTAAAATTTCCAAGACCTGACATTCATGCCTTGACATCGCAATCCGTCTATTCGTTTGCTATACATTATTATACTGTTTAGTATAACATAAAATTCGTTTTATAAGATAATTATTAATTGTATTTACGCTGTATGACCAACTAACTACTTAGACTTAGATTGGAAGGTATAATTTGTATAGTCTACCAGACGATATCTTGCCTAGGTATAAAACAATATTACTTTTTTGGACAAACTATTTTATATTTTTTCCATGCTTCAGATGTATGAATATCTAAAAGTATAAAAAACATTTAATACCGGGATGACGATAAAAAAACCACCCTGTGTAGCTATATAGTTAGTTTTCATGAATTTAATTATGCTTCCTACCTCGAGGCGTGCAAGGAGAGTTGTGCCGTGATCATTTTTTTTTATGTATAAAGCATGTACAGTTTATAAAGCACAAAAAAATAAAATAATATTCAACAAAATGTCAAGTCTAGTAAATTGAAACAATAGTAATACAAATCTTAGTTTAAAAATTTCTAAACCATTTCACACAAATAAAAATAAATACGATTTTTGAATTTTTGTAAATTTGACTATTTTTTCTAATCAAATATAATAATTTCTGTGAAGCATATTTTTTATTTTCTTGTATGTATGATAGGGTCCCAGTCTTATTTTTAATACATGTATGCATCAAAAACTTAAATGCAACATTAAAAGATAATTTTAAAAATTCATGTAAATTACTAATTAATATATTTTGTTTTTCAGGCTTGTTATAAATTTACAAGCAAATGAACAAGCAAATACCGGTTATCTTGGAACCACCTTCTATGAACTATTTACTGTTGAAAAAGGAAAACGACTTTAAAGAAGAAAAAAAATTGTTAATACTTAGAATGATTTTTAAAAACATTATATTGTTATATACGGCATTATTTACCAAGCATGCTTACCCCCTTTTATCCTTTTATAATGCGATTATTCAAATTCTGATTTTTGGAATATTTCAGTGTACTTAAAAGTCATATTTTCACGAATTTATATTTTTTATAAATATAAAAATGCTAATATTATTGTTTAATAATAACTAAGATTTACAAAACACCTTTATCATGAGATCTATTATCATGGATTATTATCTTCTTCATTTAACATTGAGTTTGGTAATTCAGAATCTACATTTTTAAATTTTGTTTTATTATTATTGACAACGACATTCTTAAAATATCAATCTGATTAATAATAAATAGTAAAAAAGTGTATCTAAGATTAAAAAAAATATATAATAAGCAACTCCTCATTTATTGGTATAATAATAATGTAAGTCTTGGAAATTAGGTCTTTAAGTATACTTTCTTAAAAATTCTGGAAATCAAAATCATAACTACGAAGACAGGAGTGAGCATACCTGGGAAATAAACCTGCAGTGTATATTATCAGAATATTAATATTATTAGTTTCTTCGCTTTTTACAAATTTTCATAATATTTTAACGCTTGTTATATGTTAAGTTTATAATATAAACGTATAATATATATTTAACAAAACTCTCACTCAGCATACTTAAAATTTCTAGACACTAATACCGCAATTAATGGTTGTAGCAAATATTATATATGTACTAATAATTACTTATGCCTTTATGTATTACCTATAAAAAGATAAAATATAAATTATTTGGTTTATCAAGTTGAATTTAGTTAAATTTTTAAAACCTTAGGACAAAATGAATGGTTTTTTTTGGTATTAATATTTGTTTTTGGTTAAAAACTCCTTGGTTACCTGCGAGTTATTCAATTCGCATTAAGTCCTTTAAATATTTTGTTTTTATTTTTTATAGAAAAGTAGTCAAACATGAACTAAAATGTATTCAAAATTAAAATATTTGAAGCAATCGAAACAAAATTGAAACAAAATACTTAAACGCAAATGATTGAAATAAAGAAAAATAATTCTGGGATCCATTTCAAAAACATGGACTTTTACATAGCTATGCAAGCTAAATAAGTGGAACTTTTGGACAATGCTGATTTCTTTAAAATATCATTAAATAATGGTGCTTTGTGAAATTTAATTTTAGAGCATTGATCCCATTTGAATGAAAATTCTGATCGAAACCCGGTTAATTCAGGGATGCTATAAATTTATAAAAAAAATATTTTCGACAGTTGTCTGTAGTTTTTCATTACACTAAGAGAAACCATTGTTAAAAATCGAAAAAGAGCAGTAAAAACTTAATTTTCTGTCCACAAATGATTTGTATACAACTTGGCAATCCTTATTTCTTCAACATAGAAATGTGTTCACAGATAAATATCAAAACAAATTCACTACACTGTGCCTACTACTAATTTTTACATTCCTCAATTAGCTATGAATATAATATGGTAGACAATTATCATCACAGGTTGCACGATGTCTGAGTAAAGTAAAAGAAAAAAAATTTAATTCAAACTATTTGTATGTTTTCTTACAAATGCTATATATTAAAATATTCGTTGTTATTAGTTTTCACTTTTCAATATTATAACTTATCTAAATAAGTATATAACAAATTATTTATATTTTACTGATATATTTCTATATATCTATCGACATATCATAATTATATTATTTTGTTGTACTATTAGATTATTCAATTAATATTCAATGCACTAAAAAAATGCAAAAATTAAAATTGCATTAGCTTTATAGATTACAATTAACAATTAGATTTAGTTTATTAACTTTATGGAATTAATTTTATCAATATCTCAGTTTAGTTTTTAAGAACACTCCAATTTGGTTAATTGTATTTAATACTACCTACTTCATCAATGAATAATAATGTGTTATAGTAATACTATGATAATATGGACATCGTATAAAATGATAATCGCTAAATATAATATATATTACAATATACAAAGTATCGAGTTTAATTAAAACGTATATGTAATACGACGGTATCAGGTACATTCAACATAAAAGTAAATAGTTGTTGTATAGGTATTCTGTATAGGTACTGTTTGTATTGAAATTACGTATTAAATCAAACTACAATTTATTCAAATTGTTTAAAATACGTCGTGACTTGTAAATTCATAGTAAATTCATAAATATTTTGGAAAGACTAGTGTACCTACACGAATAGATAAATATAATCCAGGATCGGAAGATATGAAGGTAAATAATGATTAATTATGGAGGGTAAAAATATTGTTATTATACAAAAGACCGGAAAAAAAGAAGTAGAAGAATTATTTTGAAGTATACTTATTATAATATTACTTGAACTGGTGATTATTCTATTGTGATCACTGTTACATTAATAAACAATTGCATAGGTGGAAATATGTTGGAAACAATTATTAGGAAAACGCACCTTTTATAGTGTGTACATATAAACATATTAATATACTGAAGTTTATTTTCCACAGCAATTATTATGACATAAAATAAACACTTAACAGCCGATTTTCAGCACTTACAACAATAATATAACGGATGGACTGAAGTTGTGCAACAGACATTAAAGCAGGTTAACCATAATAATATTATTGTATGATCATCATGAAATAGTTAACCGATTATTGACATAAATAGATAATTACCAGTCACTATTAATTTTGAGTTACATCATCAACAAAATAATATCTACACCAAGGACGTAGCCAGATGGGG